CTACGCGGCAATCCTCCGGTGAAACCACTTTACGACTTCCTTCGAACAAGCTTTCTCTTCGAAAGAGAAATTCATGTCACAATACATCACTAAGGAATTCTTCGAAACCCAGTTTTTCTTCACATCTTACCAAAACGTTATGAAATCGAGGCCAAATCAAGTCGCGACCTTCAGACTGCTCTGAGATACGTGTTTATAAGTCTTTCGACATAACCTTTTCCCTAGAGAATAAACTTACGAAGGCATGACTAAATTTTTTTATTTAGATGGCATAAACCGCTAGAAATCTTATTTAGTGTATACACATTTGGCTTGGTTTCAGCTAGGTCAGTCCATAATTGCCAATTAGTAAATCAATGAATTATGAAGTCTAATGCCACGTTATTTGATTGCTGCTATGTCACCATAATAAGATTTATTTAGTTATACTATCTACCCAACTACATTTTTTTTATTCTACAAAGTCTCATCGAGGCTATGCTTAAGAAAAATCGTAACGGTTATAACAATTCCATACTGCATAAATGAACTAAATTCCCTGGATCTTAATAATAGCTAAACAATTTACCGATGCTCTTTTGATGTTAAACTTTTATCTGGTCGAATAATGAAAGTTCATGAAGTCCGTTATGTGATCCTATCAGCCTGGCCTCTTAATTATAGTGAGAGCCAGTAATCTTGTAGACTATCAAGCGACCTTGGAATAGGAGGGTCTGAACAGGTTGCCTTTTTATCTAAAGCAGGATATTTTGGTTGCCCATTAGCAACCATCATGGCCTCAAAATGTAATTTTATTTCATAACCTTTCTGAAGGCTGCAATATTGAGATAAAAGTTATACCTTTGAAACTGACTCATGACAATGTATGTTGTCATATCTTGAGTGTAATTGCAACTGGAAGTTTGCCTCATCGGCAACCTCACTATAATTGCGATTGAGAAGTTTTGGTTTTCCTTGAACGTCACTTCTGCCTGCGATACACTGGCATCTCTGGCCGCACTCATGACCCCGTTTCCAAGAGCTGATAAAAATTCTTCGATGTGGTAAAAGGAGAGGGACCTGTTATGCTAAAAAACTTTGCAACAAAAAAAGCATAGCCTTGACCACTCTATCAGACAAAGAAATCGCGGAAGTAAAAGAATAAAAGGAGATGAAAAGGATTATAGTCCAAAAGTGAACTATATAAAAGGGAATACTTTTTATTCGAATAAAAGTTTGGTTTCGAGGAACCTCTTGGTTATTAATTATTCAGTTAACATCCATTTCGAGTGAAAGTGTTTGGTGACTTCCATGAAATTTACATCTGACCTGTGACCCAAAGGCACTCGTGGCAATGGGACGTAGTGGCTAAATTGTCAAGATTGTAAGCTACACACTCCTGCGTCAACTCCCTTTGAGGGTGATGATGAGACATAGGCGAGGTCAAAATTGCAGTCTATCCTGAATGAGAATACCTTTTAGGAAAGCAAGGCAATGTGAAATTCAATGGGAATATAAGGTTTACTCATATCATTGTGTGAAAAATTGAACTGCCAGTCCCCTTATCACCTTAAACGAAATAGAGTGAATGCACTTCATTTATAAATGATCTAAAGGTATGCTCTAAAACCTATTTATAAACGAAACAAGTAATTCGAACGTCGATCCCATCATGAGACGACGACGGATTCCTCCTGACCAGCTGTCGATAGGTTTTGTTAAAACATTCTTGTTTAAACCGTTTTCGATGCATTCTCCTTCAATTTTGGTGAAAATGTGTTACGTTTTCGTTCTTCATATCGCGAGCATCATCAGCGCAGGGAGCACTTACAAGCACATGAATACACATAAACACACGCAAACAGATACATTCACATGCTTCGAGAATGGCATAACTTGAACTAAACAAATCACTTTACATCTTATTAAAGAGCTTAGCTAGTTAGTGTATATACAGCATTTAGGGATAAACCGACGTGTTTTCTTTATTCGTCATCATGAATATGGTTACCCTGCTTAATACCCTACTCTGACGATGTCCCTCATGTTATGAACGAAAGCTTAGCACATTTCCACTGGAATCAAAGAGATTGCCTCGGAAATAGCGTCAACAGATGTGCTCAAGTACAGCCATTAGATAGCTGGTCGAGTGGAATCCGCCGTTGCCTTCTGGTGAGATGGGCCTTCGAATCTCTTCACCAAACACTTTCACTCGAAATGGAAATGAACTCAACTAATATGCTCTTGCGTCTAGATTGTTGCAGTGGTGCATATTTACCTTTTTGCATACGTTTATGACAGAGGCTTGAACTCATTTCCTTGCCAAGTGGAAAGCTTGAACAGCTGGATTGCTTGTGGCGACGAGATGGGCCGTTTTAAAAAAGACTCCCATTTATGCCTACTTTGGCATAATGAGCCTAGTCTGTAGTTGAGACGGCCAAACTCCTCACATCCTGAACAAATGACGAACTGGACGGAAAAGGGTCAGAACAGAGAAGAGTCTTGAAGTGGGAAGAGCCACACTGGATCCGCTTTGCAGGTTCAAAGAGGGCTTTTCAACCAGACTATGCAAAGAATTCAATGACGACCTATTTAATGTGAAAATGAGTCACTTCATATATTGGTTTCAGTTGTATGAGGATTTTGGATACGAGGTTAAGAAGACCCAGATCATGGGAGACCTGGCAGCGCCCTCCAGCAGTTCTAAGAGCAAATAAAAAGTGATTTTCCTCTTCTTTCTGTGCTGGCTTCCAGACCCTGTGAAAATGTATGACGAGTTCGACATCATCGGTAGATGACGGCAGGTTCCCCTTTGGCATGCTAGTGCTGAAACAGCTCTTGAAACACCCTCCTTGGTTGCGATTAAATTCTATGGATCTTTGCCTTTCATGTGGAGAACAGCATTTGATCTGGAATACATTCATATAGCCTGCTTCAAGCCAACATCGAGTCTTCTTGGCTCGTTTCAGCGGGGCCGAAGGGGACTTTCTCGTGGATATTGTTGGCATGACCTTGGCAGAAATGCCAGGCAACAGATCGTAGGAATCCACCATCATTCATTGGTGAGATCGACCTATGAATTCTTTCAGCTAAGCATATATTTTTAAGGAGATTCATTTTGAAACCAGCAACTTTTCGTTGAGTCTTCTTCGAACCTGCAAGAATTTCGGTGAGAATCAGCAGCATCTGTCGACTATTGGGTCTACCATACAGCTGGAGACCATTGCCTTCAGTGCGAATTTATTGTTGTCTGTCCAGCGCCTCATCCAAAACGGCCATGAAATGCAATACTTTCCCTCTAATAATCAGGGCGAGCTTTGGTTATGTGAAGAATTTGCAAAACTTTACAGAAAAACCCTTTTCTGGTGATCTGGCGTCTGTAGGGCTGCGATTATGGGCTAGTGTGGAGACTCCGATCAGGGCGTTTCAGAGATAATGGCATAAGAAATAACTCAATCAAGCAATTTCACAAAAAGCTAACTAATACCTAACAACAATAAAAACGAGTAATAAATAATAAGTATAACGAAAGCTGAGAGATGACAATAAGGCAGCCGCGTCTGAGCAAAAAGGACTAAGGTGGACAGAAACGGTTTTCACACTTTTTTCTTTTCAAAAGCTTTAGAGACCTGGCGCGTGATTCGATCGATCTGAAGTGTTTGAAATCCACAACAGGTGAATTGGCAAAGATATGGCGCTTATTCGGTGATGTTAACTCTTCAAAACGGGCACTTTCTGGCCCAGGCGAAGGGTGTTTAACTGAACGATCGATAGGCAAACGTGATAGAGGAAATCGGATGGCCAATGCCTGCAGCATGAACTACGGTCTATAGAGTGACCTGGCCGTTTGTGCAATGGTTGGAAGCTCAGCCCAACTGGCCAAACTCGCTGGACATTCTAAGAGTCGAGGAAAAGTTCGAAAATTGGTTTAAAACAAATAAATCGTACATAGGACGATCAAGCTTGTGTGGTGTCAAGCTCTATCACTGTCTCCTTTAGAAGTGCTGTGTTGATTTGGCCTCATTTTATTGTTAGGACTTTCATTTCGTATGAAAATGTATGAAGAAGAGATTCGAAGGTTGATCTCACCAGAAGAGGATGGTTGAATCCCATTGTACTGCAGCCGTTTGGCTTTTATATGACGCTGAGATTGACGCAGTCACGAGGCCTCCTCCTTCTTTATATGATGGACGAAAGCTCAGCCCGTTTTCTCCTGAAAAGAGGGAAGATGTCTCGTAGACTGCGTCAACCTGAAAGTCGTATAAAAACCCAACGGCTGCAGTACAACGAGATTGAACCATCTTCTTCTGGTGAGATTGACCTTCGAATCTCTTCTTCATACAATTTCATACGAAATGAAAGTACCAACAATAATGTTATCACAGGAGATTGATAGAAACCCAGTTACTCTTCATATCTACAATGACACCATTTTCGCAAATTAATCGGGTTGAAAAGGGCGCCTTGAGTAACATACCTAGTCTTGTCATGAAAATTTATCAGCGTCAGACTGTGGACTTGGTATATTCCCAGACGCTTCACCAGCATCGTAGTCGGCATTGCCATTGAGAGACGCCATCGTTGACACAGAGTTACAACTTATTAAATGGCAAATGAAAGCAATCCTTTTGACGAATTTGTGGCATCTCCCCTCCCCCTGTCCTAGCTTCTAGCACTACATACCGATCTCTCAAACCAATGTCAATAACCCATTTACCTATTCAACTTATTCCATGTTATCGTTTGCTCCAGTGTCGCCTAAGATTGTCGCTTCAGGTGGATTTAGTGAAAAGCAATTATCTTCATCCCTAGTTTCAGATGCCGTTTATGGCTCTCCCTTAGCCCCTCTCCTACACATGAAAATCACTGCCTACTTTGCTGCCTATGGGTGTTTGATTCCTGCCCCCTTTGTC